GGACAAAAGAAAAAAGAATGCAGCAGTAATCCTCCAGCGAAAGGCTATTGAGAAGGAGATTAATGAGATCTTGATGCAGGAGGAGTTGATATGGAAACAACGCTCCAGAGCAGATTGGCTTCAAGGAGGGGATAAAAACACAGGCTTTTTTCACAGGAAAGCGTCTGACAGAAGGAACAGAAACACTATAAAGAAGCTTTTGGATGAAATAGGAGTAATAAGGGAGGGTCACAGTGCTGTGACTAATATTTTAACTAACCACTTTAAATCTGTTTTCACTGCAAGTGAACGAGTTTCTGTAAGTCAAATTTTGGAAGCAGTCCCATGCAAGGTCACTACAGAAATGAATGAGGAACTTTTAAAACCTTTCACAAATGAGGAAATCTGGACAGCCCTAAAGAAAATGGGACCTCACAAGGCTCCAGGGGTGGATGGAATGTCAGCTCTCTTTTTCCAGAAGAACTGGGATATTGTGGGACCAGATGTTACAAATGAACTTCAGAATTACCTAAGCACAGGCATGTTCCCTCAGACCCTCAACCATACTCTGCTAGTTCTAATACCCAAGAAAAAAGGGCCAGAATGTCCAGGGGATTATAGACCTATTAGCCTATGCAGGGTTCTTTACAAGATCCTATCAAAGGTTCTGGCTAATCGACTGAAACAAGTTCTTACCAAAGTGATTAATGAGTTTCAGAGTGCTTTTGTCCCTGGGAGACTAATTACAGATAACGTCATGGTAGCGTTTGAGTGCTTTCACTCAATGAAAGGCAGAACAAAAGGAAAGAAAGGATTCATGTCAGCCAAATTGGATATCTCCAAAGCCTATGACAGGGTGGTGTGGGACTTTCTTGAGTCTATTATGCTTAAACTGGGGTTCAATACTAGATGGGTGGCAATGATCATGGCCTGTGTCAAAACGGTTTCCTACTCAATCATGGTTAATGGTCACCAAACAGAGACCTTTTTTCCTACTCGAGGCTTGAGACAAGGAGATCCAATATCTCCCTACTTATTCCTATTCATTGTGGAGGGGTTATCTGCTCTTATATTGAAGGCTGAAAGAGACAGGAGGATAGCAGGAATACAAGTCAAAAGAGGAGCCCCTACCATTTCCCATCTGCTCTTTGCAGATGACAGTGTTCTGTTTACAAGTGCAACAACTCAAGAATGTATACATTTAAGAGATATCCTAACCTTGTATGAACAAGAATCTGGACAGAAGGTAAACCTTGAGAAATCGGAAATCTCTTTCAGCCCCAATGTGGAGAGGTTAAGAGACAGGATCTGGCAGCCATTCTTGGAATGAAAGTGGTACCTCTTCATACTAAATATCTAGGCCTACCCACCACAGTTGGAAGAAGAAAGAAGGAGGTGTTCAGCTACCTTGTGGATAGGGTCAGAAGAAAGGTGAAGTTGTGGAAAGGGAAGTTGCTTTCTTTTGGAGGAAAGGAGGTGTTGATAAAAGCAGTAGCCCAAGCACAAATGACTTATGCAATGCAGGTTTTCCTAATCCCTATCACTGTCACTCAAGAAATTCAGAGTCTGGTTTCAAACTTTTGGTGGGGACAACAAGACTCAGAACGCAGGACGCATTGGGTTAGTTGGCAGGAGATGTGCAGATCCAAAAAGCAAGGGGGCTTGGGGTTCAGGAACTTACATGATTTTAACTTGGCCCTTCTGGGAAAACAACTGTGGAGAATGATTCAAAACCCAACCTCCTTAGTCTCAAGAGTTATGAAAGCTAAGTACTTTCCAACCCGGGACATCTTGGAAGCAGAGGGAGGGTATAATCCGAGCTTTATATGGAGAAGTATCCTAGCAGCTAAAGATCTCATGAAGGAAGGATTGCGGTGGAGAGTTGGGAATGGAAACAAAATTGATATCTGGCTGGACAAATGGGTTCCTACCTCCCTAAATTATAGAGTTCAATCGCCAATCTCCCTATTCGCATCATACACATCAGTGAATGAGCTTATGAACACAGAAACGAGAACCTGGAACCATGCTTTACTACAAACCTATTTTCTCCCTCAAGATAGACAGAATATACTGAGAATACCAATACCAAGACAACCAGCAGAAGATAAGAGAATCTGGGGGAAGGAGAAGTCAGGTCAGTATACAGTGAAATCGGCTTACAAGGCACTGAGAGCGAGTAAAGAGGCAGAAATGGGAGAAATCTATACCCCAATCAACTGGGAACGAATATGGAAGCTCCAGATACCTCCTAAAGTCAAAGTCTTTGCGTGGAGATGGATTCGCAACATCTTACCAACAGGAGCAAACATCCTAAAGAGAACAACTAAGGGATGCGATGAATGCCCATTTTGTGGACAGGAAGAGACACAGAATCATCTGTTTCAAGAATGTGGATGGGTTAGAAGAGTTTGGTACCCTAGTTCCCTAAATCAGTGTTTCGAGAAGGGAAAAGACCTTACCTGCGAAGAATGGATGGTGGCTCTCCAGGAAACAGAATCCGACGAGAAGATAGCCCAATTTCTGGCGGCACTATGGTTCATATGGGGCGAAAGAAATAGTCAATGCTGGAACACGAAGAAATTGGAAGAATTCGAAATAATGGGGAAAGCGGAACGTTGGTTGAATGAATACCTGGAATATCAACAACAAGGAATGGAGGTGGCGCCCAGGCAGGTGGCTCGTTGGAAACCGCCTGAAAATGCTGATTTCAAGATCAATGTCGACGCGGCGACGTTCACCGGAGCGGGCACTGGTTTGGGGGTTGTGGTTCGCGATAGAAATGGGGGATTTTGCTGTGCAGTGATAAAAAGAACGAGGATTCAATGGCCAGCGGAATTGGCTGAGCTGCAGGCTATAAAGCTTGGACTAGAGATCGCGAGGGAGAAGGATTTTGTGACTGGAGAAATCGAATCGGATTGTCTCAGGGCGGTACAGCAAATCGGAAGGGAGGAAATGTCGATGACGGAGGAAGGGGTGGAGAGTGCTGAAGTGAGGGAGCTGATCGACACTTTTGCTGGACAGATGCAGATCAGGTTTGCAGGCCGAGAAAGTAACAAAGCGGCCCACATATTGGCCCATGTACAATGTGGGTGGGACGAAACTGAGATTTGGGTCTCTAGGCCACCAATTTTCCTGGTGGACCAACTTATCTTTGATTCCTGTAATATTTCACATTAATGAAATAATACAGGTTGATCTATCAAAAAAAAAAAATTGAGTATACCCAAAAGTATTTCGTTTTTAAAAAAAATTGTTTCCTAGTAAAAAAATATAGTTCTTAAAAAGTTATGCACGATCAAAAAAACTTTATGACGTTCAGATTGAGTAGCAAAAAGTTATGGCCTTCCAAAGTTTGGCAAAGTAAAAAAAATTGCCCGTTCGGGGTAGCAAACGACATTTTTCTGAGATGAAAGCTTATTGCATATTGAAAGATCTTGAAAAGTTACGCGGAATAAAATTTTTTGCTACAATCGGATAACCGAGCGCAAAGTTACGTTCGTTTGAAGTTTCAGTTTTAGATCAGGCATTCACGGCGGCCGGCAACCGCGGTGATGCATTCACAGCTTTCGTCTGCCACGGTGAATGCATTCACTTCGGTTGACGGCCGCAGTGATGTCCAAACATGTGTATTTTGGAATTTTTTTTAAAAAAAATTTGTATTTTGGGATGTTTTCAGATAATCAAACATCATTTGTTTATTGTAGTAGTATTACTTTGGTGATTGTTTTTAATTTTGGCAATTTGTGCGTTCGTATTTCTTTTCATTAGCATGACCCGAACCCGATGGATTAGGTCAATATTTGACCTGAAATAAGCCAACCCAACCTGACCTGCCCCATGACAATTCGTAACCCAAGATTTCCAACCCGAAATTACCAACCCGCCCTGAATGCCAGGTTTAGATGTCTGTCTGAAACCAACCTAAACACCACCGTTATAACGAGAATGATCTATTTACGATCTCTAAGCAAAATGACGCTATTTTAGTGAATTTAATTTATAAAAAATTATCTATTATTTATTTCATGAATTTTAAATAATTAAATATTGATGTTATTTGTTCGATTCAAGTATAAACATTTAGGTATTGATGTTAAATGTTGTATTTAAATATGAATATTTGTTATTTTATTTGGAATGTCGTATTTTTCTAAATATTGATATGGATTGTATGTATATTGTCTTCAATAATGTTTTATGTATAGTTAAATTCATTTGATGTTAATCATTTTTAAAACTTGTGTGAACCGACACAAAATAATTGTACCACCGATCGAATCATTCCACTTATTGAACCGAGTCAACAATATAAATTGGTTTCACTTGCTTTACAACCATATTCCATGAAAAGCATTCATTACTTTATAAAAAAAAATTACATGCCAAATATCAAATATGCCATCAAACCCCCATTCCCCTCCCATATCGTCACATCTTTCTCCAGATCAGTCTCCCTCCGGACTCCAGCAGTTCCACTGATACTGCTAGCAATTAAACCCTATTTAGCGCGATTGACAAAGAAACAAAAGAACAAAGCTGCAAGGAGTTGGGAGAGAGAGAGCGGGAGCAATTAACGCCGTTCCTTTCGCCGAATATCCGTTGCAGCCTGCAGCCGAGTGACGGTGAACAGCTGCCCAATCGGCAGCCGGAAGACGGTCACGAGTCCAGGTCGTGCCTCTTAGACTCAACACCAGCTGTAGCAAGCAGCAGCGGGAGCGTCCCGCAAGATTAGGTGAGCTCCTCTTAGTTCCTCTCTTCACCCCCGTGCGATTTTCAGTCTTCTTCTTAGGCGTGTATGATCTTTCGAAGCATTTCAGAGATGAATCCTTTCTAAAGATTAGTCTGACTATGACCTCTTTCTTGCGGGCTAGTCATGCTCATGTTAGTAGTACGGCGCGCCGTAGTTTTAGAAGGATGCTCTTCAGACTGGTATTGTTGCAGCGTAAATGGAAAGCGATGGGTACGAATTAATGTCTGGCTAATGCTTTTCCCCCACTTGTCATAGCAGGAAAGGAGCAATGCATGGAGATTTGACATTCCAAGATATGTACAACAACATGGAGCTGGTTGAGGACGAAGATGATGATAGTGATTGGGAGCCGGTTGCGGAACCAGTAGAGATGATTAGTTGGTTCTGCACCAACTGCACGATGGTGAATCTTGGTGATATCGTCCACTGTGATGTATGTTGACTTTCATGTTCCTTTCACTGTATTGGTCTATAAGATATATCTCTTGAAGATGCCTGTTCCGTGTGTGCGACATTCTAATTCTGGTCTATGTCTGATAATTTTCAGTTATGCGGAGAACATAAAACTTCTGGTATCCTGAAGCATGGGTTTCTGGCATCTTCAAAGTTCCCCCAGGAAGACAGTCATATTGATGGGAAAATAGAAGCGAATGGCAACGGTAGTTGAATCTTATCGTTAAAGCTGTAATTTCTGTCATGTATTACAAGCTTGCAACATGTGTGGTGTGCATGTTGGGAAGTTCTTGTGTGTTTAATGAAAATAGAGAATTGTGTACTTCTAATTACCGAACAAAAAAGTAAAATAAATAATAAAGGTATGTCTAATGTGTGGAAACTGTGACTTCTCACGGTTTGGTGGTATTCAAGTTAGTGGGGGCTTGATGGATATTGAAGAGCAGTGCTTTGAGATTGTGTTCCTTTTCCTGGCATTTTTGGCCAACGTTTATCATTTCCCAGTTTTTTTCGAGAAAGGATAGAATTTGGTATGTTGCTTTATAGAGACTTAAAATTCGTTAATCGCCTTTAGAGTGACCTTGAATCCTTTGGGTGCTTTTCATGTAATATTGGGTGTGATTTTGTTAGTGGTATTGGGTGTCAATTTGTTAGTGGCCAATGATAAGAATGGGTAGTGAACTTAATCCTTCTTTCTAAATATGGGTTTTGGGTAGGGAGGTTGTAGAGTTGATTTCTTGTGGTTGAATTCATTGGTTCCACATAAATGCCATCTGTTTATTCTGGGAAGTGGTTTTGCTAAATTTATTGATTCCGAGGGTATGTAACATTGCATTTGGCTGCCGTGTACTTGTAGAAGTTAGGCAACCATTGGGAGTGTATCAGTAGTGTTTTAGCAATGAGTTGGTGTAATGGTTTGTTAAATTCTACCTTTTGTTCCCCTGTGACTCATGACTATCATATTCTCCTTGTTGCTGTCTAGTAATTGGATTCCAACAGTCAGCCTTAAGCAGTCCCACAGCAGTTGGTTTTGATGAGAGAATGCTGTTGCATTCAGAGGTATGTCGCTGTTGGTATTATAAGGAGACACTGTTGCTCTCTTATTTTGCATCTCTTTCTCTTGCTACTAGCACCTTGTTTTCTTAAGTTTGATCTGATGAAACATGTGATTTTTGAATTGGAAGTTTGATGCAAAACTTTGAATCTGAAAAATGGGAAAGTAAGAGTTTTGCTTATTTTTTATTTTATTTTATGATCTTGTTTGTAATGTAATTTCCTGAATTTCTGTTTAAAGTAGATCGAGATGAAGTCACATCCACATCCTGAAAGACCAGATCGCCTTCGAGCCATTGCTGCTAGCCTTGCAACGGCCGGTACTGAGCTTTCCTGAATAATTTCTACTAGCCTTTTGGTTTTGTTTGTGTTACCACTTTCTTGAATAATTTCTCTTCATGGATTGTATATGCAACTGTGTTGGTAATTTGGAGTCTGATACTCCAGCATCTCTTATTTGCCAGTTCTTGAATTTACTGTGATCCTTTTGTTTATGCAGGTATATTTCCTGGAAGATGCCAGGCTATTGCTGCCAGAGAGATTACTCGGGAAGAACTTGAGAGGGTTAGTCTAAAAAAATTACTTCTCATTTGTGTTGTGTGGTGAACCCTGGTAATATTTTTGGATTGGACCAGAGGCTAATTACAGAACATTAAGAGTTAGCCTTGAGGTTTATGTTCCCTGGCAAATACAGTAGGAATGTAATTGAACCAGACCAAGTATTTGTTGTCCATGGTTATTGGTAATTACTTGTCACAGTGGGTATATGAAATATGTTTTCAAATTGTTGATTAGTTGTTTAATCAAGGGCCATGGATTAAAAGTGTTAACCAAATATCTCTGGTGCTGTATTGGACCATAAACATAGTCCTCGCCTTGCAAATCGAAACATTCCCCCTGTGGAACTGGATTGTGCTATAACCATCCCAATCATGTTACACTGACCAATTGTCTATGAATCAATTCCTTCTCCTTGTTAATAGCTGTTCTGTTATTGGTCAACAATTTACAGGTTGCATGTTTGTCTCATTTCAATTCTAGGTGCACTCTATGGAGCACATTCAAACTGTAGATTTTACTGCCAATATCTTCTCCAGGTAATACCCTTGCCACTGAACTTGAAGTGGAATCTTGTGTGCTTATCCAAATTGAAATTTAAGAGTTTTTCCCCATTTAATCTGAATGTCAGCTACTAAAGCAAGTGTTTGCTTCCTCTTCTGTTTCATTGCTGTTATTTATCATGAGAGACCAATATGCACTGGTTAATTTTCTCTTTTCCTTCAAAAGGAGGAAAGATTAAATTTGACTTTTTCCAAGATCAAACGATAGTTTTTCATTAGTTTCTGTAACTTATGTGATATTGACTAAGCAGTTGTCATTCTTATTCTATGTCCAATATGGTGGTGGTTCTTGTAAGAGAATATGTGGCTTCATTACTTCTCAGCTGTTGTAGATGATGTATCATTCTTATTCTCCCTACTACGATGGTTGTACTAGTAAGACAACATGTGTTGACATTACTCGTCAACTGTTTTACATCCATAACCTTGGATAAGATGAGATAATTTTATGGGTTCCCAGCGGAAGTGTGTCGAATGTAGATTAGCTTGTTCAACGCATTTGTCATTACATAATGAAGGCTTTGGAATTGACATGGGGATCAGAATAAAGCTGCAAACAGAGTTTGCCTATAACCCTATGTTCATGTGAAACTGGGGGTTGATCTTTAAGGAGTTTCGACTTTGTATTCCTGGATTGTTTCTTCCTCGCTCTAGTATTTTGTTTGTTGTTTCAGAGGAATTATGCTGCTTCTTGTGTTACAGTTGATTGTATACTTGTGCTCAGGTTGGGTTTTGTTAAGGCTTAAGGTGTTTTCACTCTCATTGTCCTTGAACAACTATATTGTACGTTAGTCTCTTTACTATCCTTAGATTTGGGTAGCCACTTCCGCGGTGCTTTGGCATCACAGTAACCCTGTTGTCTGTATATGGTAAGCTTGGTTTGGGCTCCAGTGATATAGTTTCTTGGCATCTTGGCTATCATATGTTTGCTATAATTGATGTCAGTGGATTATATGTTGATTTATGATTAGCTTTCGCACATTTGCAGTTATTTCACACCTGACACTTACGCCAATGAGCATTCGGCTCGTGCTGCTAGACTTGCAGCAGGTTTGTGTGCTGATCTTGCTTCAGCAATATTTTCTGGACGTGCAAAAAATGGTTTTGCTCTGGTATGAATATTAAAGTATCATGGCAGTTGTTGGATCTTGCTAGGATAATATGAGAAACAAAATGAATCTTAATGCTCCTGTTAACTCTGTGATTATAATCAGGTTAGGCCTCCGGGTCATCATGCGGGTGTGAAGCAGGCAATGGGATTCTGCCTTCACAATAATGCAGCAGTTGCAGCACTGGCTGCACAGGTTGCTGGTGCCAAGAGGGTTCTAATAGTTGACTGGGTAAAGTGATTATCAACTAGTATGTATGTAGGTCATCTTCTATCTGTTTAACTGATTTACCTATCTAATGCTATTTTAGGATGTCCACCATGGAAATGGAACACAAGAAATTTTCGATGACAACAAATCGGTAAGCTCAGTAGTGATGGGTTATTCACCTCTTGTAATGATATGTCGCATCTGGGGAATCAAACCCAAAGACTTGGATACCTGTGTATTATGGTCTTCATTGTTTCCAGTTACCTTGTTTTTTGTCTGGAATTTTGCCAGAGTTCGTTGATTTCTTTGTGCTGGTTTTTAACTTCATGACTTGGATGTACCCATAGGTACTATATGTATCCTTGCAGACTTGGATACCTGTGTATTATGGTCTTCATTGTTTCCAGTTACCTTGTTTTTTGTCTGGCATTTTGCCAGAGTTCGTTGATTTCTTTGTGCTGGTTTTTAACTTCATGACTTGGATGTACCCATAGGTACTGTATGTATCCTTGCATAGACATGAGGATGGCAAATTTTACCCTGGTACAGGAGCTGCTAGTGAGGTACTTGACTAATCAGGCAGCATGATAAGTATAGATGGAACATCAGCTTATGTAGTTATCTTTCATCTTCATTTTATTGCAACATGCTCAGTACCTTATGCTTGATGTTTTGGTTTAATGTGTAGGTTGGTTCAAAGGGCGCAGAAGGATATTGTGTGAACATTCCATGGAGTTGTGGTGGAGTAGGCGATAACGATTATATTTTTGCATTTCAGCATGTCGTGCTACCTATAGGTTAATATCCATTCACCCGACTTTCTGCAATTAGGAAAATTTGTAGTACTAAGCTGAATCGGAGTTTGTGAAGTGCTAAGTTATTTCCTGATGTTTGGTTAGGGTAGATTTTTGTTAAAGAGCTTTGAGGATAAATGTCAGTAGATCCTTTGTTAAAAAAAGGGATAAATATTAGTAGACCATTCGATAAAATAGAATTCCAGCATATATGGTCCATCTACCATGCATAGGCTTCTGGATGGTTGACGTTGTACAAATCACATTGGCTTTGGTAGGACCTTTCAAGGTAGTAACAAGTCAATGCAGGATGCTGCTAACATACTATGGAACAGTTTGAATGGGGTTTGTGGAAATGAAACTTCTCTTGCAGTACACGTTGCCAAATATACTTTAAATGCAGCAGTGCTTTTACTATGATGATTCCTACCTTCCGCTTCTTCATTTTACAGAATCGGATTATGCTGACTGTCAGATATGTTTCTGGTTATGTTGATGTCTCTTGAATGCTATCTTTTGTATCTGAATATAATAAATGGTGGATTGCACTTTTGCAGCCACCGAGTTTGCTCCTGACTTCACCATCATATCAGCAGGGTTTGATGCAGCAAGGGGTGATCCACTCGGACACTGTGATGTAAGATTTCCATTTATTGGATGAATTTATTTGTCTCAGGACCTTGTTTTCTAGTAAAGACTTTGATGTTCAAATATTTGATATATCTATAAGTTCTTGAAGCAGTCAATCCATATATCCTACTCTTGCAGGTTTTCTGAAATTCCTCATGATTAAAATCCCTCTTTTTTTTTAGCTTCCCCAAAGTAAAATACAGGAAGGTTGCCCATCAAAAAAATAAAAAAATAAAAATTCCGGGAAGGTGAGGGATTGTGGCAAAATCTTGCACCACAATCCCTCATCCAAACGACCCTTAGGTGTTACTCCAATGTCAATGTTATCGTTGTGACATATGCAGTTCTGACCCTCAAAATTATGAGGCATGGTATCCCGTTCTGACCGGCATAATTATGATCCACTAGCTCTAATTACATCGATGAACCAAAAATGGACATGGCTTCATTGGCAGTTAAGTTAGAAAAGTATGTCAATTAAGAAATTTCCTGTTGTAGGGTTCCTGAAGTTCTCTAGTTGGAGTGATTGAGGTTGGTTCTTATCCTGCTTAACCGAGATTACAGGTGCTTTATGACATTTATGTACAATCCATTCCATGACCTTGATCAAGCATGACTTGACTATCATGTACTTGTTTAACAAGAAATATATTTGGACTGTACGACGATTGTATCAACTTAGGACAGTATGCCATATCCTTCTTTTGAATCTAATTTTTCTGCTGTTTTGTAGGTAACTCCTGTGGGCTATGCACAAATGACAGATATGTTGTCTAATATCTCCGGTGGCAAGTTACTTGTTATTCTTGAGGGCGGGTTCGTTACTCTGACATCTTCTGTTTTCTTCCAAGTTATTTTTCATGAAAACTCACTGCACTATATCTACTGCAGCTACAATCTTAGGTCGATTTCATCTTCTGCTACTGCAGTCATCAAGGTGAATCATTGTCTATAGTAATGGGCTTATAATAGATGGTCATTTGATACTCACCGTGCCATAATTTTCACAATTATGATAATGTGCATAACCACTTATGAACAAGTTGGGTTCTCACAATATCTTATGGATGTGAAGCTCATTTCGTTGTTAGAGTAGCATCATGACATAACTTTTTGGCAAAATGAAGGTATTGTTGGGTGAAAATCCTTCAGCCGAAGTGGCAGACATTGCACCTTCCAGAGCTGGCCTGCAAACCGTGATGGAAGTTCTGAAGATTCAAAATGACTTCTGGCCTGGTGTTGGTGCAAGCTTAACACAACTGCAGTCTCTATGGGAAGGATTCAGCTATGATGATAAAGGTGAGATTTTCTCCTCATATTTGCTTGCATTCCTACACGTCCTCAATCAGCAAATTCACAAGAACGTGCTGATAGCATGGATAATCCATTTCTATTAAATTCAGCAGCAGAGAAGGGGCACAAAATGAGGCGCAGAGCAGAAGCTCCGGTATGGTGGAAATGGGGAAGAAAGCGGCTATTGTACCACCATTTCATCACCAGGCATCTTCGAGCAAAACGAAAGAGGGAGCAGAAGTGAAGTAAAAGGAGGCCTGCTCGTTTTGTGATGCTGAAGACATGTAGTGTAGGGTGATTTTGTGAATCCCTGATCAGTAACCAAACTAACCTAGGGTTGTAGTTACTCTCCGTGATTCTGTGCTAGAGAAACAGGATGCTGGGCTTCCTGGGAGAGAAGCTGTGCAGTTCTTTAGTTTTGGCCAGACAGCGTACCAGCACGTGCCGGGTGCCAGTTCTTAGTTTATGCCCGATCTTATTTTGTTGTTGCAGGAAACTCTCCTTGCTCTTAAATAGAGTAGGAAACAGGCCCTTTTGACTATTTGGGGGTAACGTGCAAACTTTACTATTGTCTCTGAATCTGAAGGGTATCCCTTGCCCACACTTAAAAATAAAATCACGGTGTTGCCAAAGCTGTACCCAGTCGAGCTGATCCACACCCGAAATCAACTTCGTAAAAGACGCTACTCAAACTGGTGAACACAAATTACGCCTATTCCACATTACCTTTCATCTCCTCCCTCACGGAGCTCTCACTAAAGACAGACTGTCGACTTAAAAGACAGACTGTCAACCACCTTGTTCGAGTTAGGGGTGAGCAGTAGATAGTTTTATGCGGATTTGGGTGAATTTGGAACCACTCACTATGCGTGAAAGAGAAAATGACCCATACCCACCGAAGCATTACATGTGGCTGGATTGGATTGGGTGGATTAGTTGCGTTAACAACATATATTTTATATGATCTCATGATTTCAGTAGTTATAAACTTAAAATGAAAGAAATTTACAAACTAAATAACCCTTAATCCACAAATCAGGTGAATCCTCTATTTTACCATATTGGTATTGGTAATTGTCCAAAAATTTCAAAATATTCAATAGATAAACATGGTCTAAGCCTAATAATAACCAAGGTTCAAGAAAACGCTAGGCCTTAGGCAAACGTTTTGGTCTTGCTTAGCGCCTCATTCGCCTAGGCTTTGTGAGCGTAAATAGTTTTTTAAACCTATAATCGCAAATTACAATTCCAAATTAATGGAAGGAATGAAGGACGAATCGGTGGTAGTTTGAGATGATGTCATTTTGGGGAAGACAACTGTCTTTTTTTGCCATTTTGTTTACTAGTTATGCTTAAACGTAGCTCTAATTTCCCAAGCGCACCTCACAACACAATCCTTAAATCGAAATTGAGAGGAATTTTTGTGATTTTAAAGGTTTCATTTTCGGTAAAGCTATATGTTAGAGTTTCGAAGGTTTTAGGTTAAAAGGTTGGGTGGGTCGTGGGCAACCACAGTCCACCCGCACCCATCCAATCTTTTGTGGGTCACCTATTTTACAACTCACACCCACCCATAAGAACCACTCACATTATCATGAGTGAATCGATTGTGGATGGATTTGTGCCGCAATCACCCAATACTCACCCCTAGTTCGAGTTGCTTTATGTTGGGTGGGGTGGGTGAAAATAAAGTAAATATATTGCACTAATAGTAAATATTTTTGAGAAAAGTCAAAAGTTATAGTAAACCTCCACACTTAAAATCATTTTGGCTGGAAAATTATAATTCATAATACAATATTAATGCGCATGGGGTTTCATTCTTCATTTCAACACATTGGTACGTTTAAAAGTTCGGCATCCATTTTAAGATATTATATGTACAGTATTACAAATGAATACAAATATATTAAATTATTAAGTCACTAGTATAATCATTTAAGATACGTGTATTAAACGTGATATGTATTTAATACGAGAATGATCACATAAAAGGGAGAATCGTCAAATAAAAGGGGGGAAGTGAGACAGCTTTCAATAATATGAGAATTGGAGTTTAAACTAATTTAATACATATGCAGGTATTAAAATTTTGCTAACTATTAATTATATAAACCACCGATATACCACCACTACGATAATTAGCCAACTTTCCTAGACTAATTTACTTCAATAATATTAGTAATATAATATACTAAGAATATTCTCAAAATCACCAATATGTGCAATAAATAAATGACACCAATGATTTACGTGTATACCCTTGATATAGATTCAGTCCATAAGAACAACTCCAGAATATTACTTCACTATAACGGTAGGTTACAGAGGGTTTCGAGCTACAAGAAAATAGAGCACAAAAGTGTTTACAAAACAAACTCACTATTTTCAAATAGAAAAAATCTCCTATCTACCTATAATTGAGAAAACGCTTCTGATCAATCCATAACAAAATGAAGGAAGGTTTTTCAGAGGCAAAGTTTGCTGTCGTTTATAATTGGTTTAATACACTTGTATATCCAAAAATTTTACGGTTGTGCCAATAATATCCAAATTTCTCGAAATACCACTTATATCCATGTTTTAAAGTTATTCTTTGCCAAATCTATCCATTTCCCAATATATTTTTTTTAAATACACTTGTATATCCAAAAACACCGTTAAAGAATGTGAAGGAATTGGATATAAGTGGTATTTCGGAAAATTTGGATATTATTGGCATAATTGTAAAAGTTTTGGATATACAAATGTATTTAACCTTTATAATTACATGCATTGCAGAGAGCCCTCAATTTATGGAATAACATGGTAACCATTTTTTACAACTGGGGAAACCTTTGCTTTTTTCGAATTAGGATTCTCGAGATTTTTGCAGCTTACACAGATGAATTTTGCCTTCTCTTCTTCTTCAACTGTTTTTTTTAGTTTGTTTGATATTGATAGGCTAATGGTGCTTGTGAAATGACTGGGATTTGAAAAATCTCCTCATTGTCCCTGTTACCTTGAATCACAAATGACGATTTGTTCTTGACTTGGGAGCTCCACTTGAATGGAACTGATGTGTATTGCCCTTGTCTGCTTTGTGTGAAACTTCACTTAAATTAGTTTCTATTGGAATTATTTCTGTTGGTAAGTTGGAGCAGAATTCTGTTCCTACCTTTGAGAGCTTTGCCAATAGAGATCATCATACTTGCGTATATCGACTGAGATTTGGGAAAGTCTTTTAGCATCATTGATTCGCTTTACTTGGAGTTTAGGGTTAGACGTTAAAAGATCATATTCTATTACTATTAAGGTCTTGGTATGCATTTCTTAAATCTACTTCTTTCGTTGCCTATCTAAAGTTACGGAGGTTTTAATTCATTTTCCACACTTCAGTCTCCTTCGTATATATTCTATTACTAATAAGCCTTTCAAATCTACTTCTTTTCCTGAACTTTTTCTTAAGAGAGAGTTTGTGGTTTGGATAATGAAGGAGACTGTTAAAGAATATGTAGATAAAGTTACGAAGATAGTTAGTGAATATAGACTGTTTTGTGACTACTTTAATGAGACTAAGGTGGTACGGTAGAGAAGATTCTGGTGAGTCTTCCAGAAAAATTTTAAGCTAATATCTTAATTCTTGAATACACAATAGATCTAGCTAGTTTAACTATCACAAATATTTTGACTCACTTCAAGCTACTAAGTTAATAAGCACAATCGAAAATCAAGGTAATTCAAAGGAAGCTTTGGTTAAAAAGCAACATAAAGGAAAAGTAAAGCATTTAGAACCAAGAAGGTTTATATAAAGAAGAAGAAAGGAAACGAGGAACAAACCTCTTAAAAGCTTTGAGAGAAGCTGCTGAAATTGCTGATTACTGAAATTTTACTTCATCAGCTCACTGTGAGATTCTCCATTGCAAAATGGGGTGCGTGAAAGGAAAAATAGAACTGTAATGAAAATGATAAGATGCTTGTTGTTTGAGAAGAGAATTCTAAAGAAGTGTCGGACCGAGACAATTAATACATCAATCTACCTACTCAATATACTGACAAATAGGCAAGCGAATGACAAAACTCCATTTGAGGGATGACATGGTTACAAAAAATGTAGTTTGCATCATCTCAAGAACTTGTATCATTGTTTTCATGTTACATCTCCAAAGAGAGACACTGCTAGATTAGAAAGAAAGTAATTCGAACAAAATGGGTTTCCAGAACAAAATTGAAGCCATATGATATTATAAACAAACTGAAAGCTAGGATAAATATGAAATGTTATGCTTTGCGTTTGCGATGGGAGATGGGAAATGATTATGGAGAAGCATTTATTCCTATAGTAAGGCCGGACACAATCAAGTAGCTGTTGCCCAAAAGAAATGGAAGTTACATCAAATGGATGTCAAATACGTCATCTTGAATGGTTATCTTGATCAAGAGATACATGTTGAATAACTTGAGGGTTTTGAGATTTCTAGTGAAAATTATTCAGATTATATGCTCAAGAATGCTGCTTGTGGCTTGAAGCAAACTCTAAAAGCTAGGTATTCCAGAATTGATGAGTATCTCTTATAACTAGGGTTTTTTTAAAGTCTCAGTGACCCAACAGGCCAACACTGTATGTGAGATACAATAATGAAGGAATCATGATGGTTTCTTTGTATGTTGATGATTTGCTAGTCACAAAAAGTGATGTGAAGCAGATAGAAAAGTTCAACGTCAACATGCTTAAAGAGTTTGAAATGACCAACCTTGCCCACATGTCTTATCTAGTGGGTATTCAAATTGAAAAACTAGAAGGATATTTTCATAAACCAAAAGAAATATGTCAAGGAAATATTAAATTTTTTGGAATGGAGAGTGCCAAGTCTGCTCCAACACCTGATGTATGCACAAGTGACATGCAATTGAAGTAATAAAATTTCTAAATGTATCAAGGTTCGTATTCTACAAGATATTCTAATAACTTATACCACTCACAACCAATCATCTAGTGCCAAACAAATACATTACATAAATTGATGGGTTGGGGTTCCCAATGTTTCGTGATTTTCGAGATACAACATTAAGTGATGCATAAACTAAATGACTACTAGGTAAGTAAATGATACACAATTGATAAGAAAGTTCATCCTAGATGATGATACACCTCAATGTCAATAATGGTATGCATCGATGCATCTTCTTTCAACCCTATCCCTCACACTAAGGCATTCCTAATCGAGCTTTCGCCACATGCAAAAGGAATTACAATTAGCTAAT